TTTCACGGCTGCCACCTTTCCTTCTATAGAATACTAGTCAATGTATTAGCTTTCAGACTCATTTAGGGTTGTTGATGCGTAGAGTCTGTATACACGAGAGAGGTTCAATGGGAATGCCGAGAGTGTGCTTTCCCAGATAGGAAAGCTGCGATCCAGGAGCGAAATCTCGCGCAGTATAGTTTCTTGGCAAATAAGAAAGCGCAGTAGGTCGTTTGTAGCTGCATCGCACATCTTGGCAGTAAGTCAGATGGCGAGATGGCTAATGTGGTCTAGTTGGGTTTCTTTATGGTCACTGCCGAGATCCAAACTCCAAATTAGCCGAGACGCCCTTTGAAAGCGAAACCCCTGGCTCCTTCCTGGTTTCCTAAAGCGCCGAAATAATAGGCGAACCTAAGCAGAAAAACTTGTAGAACGCCTGACAAAGATTCTCGTATGGTTTTCGTTCAAAATTAGATATTTTGCGCGCTGTCTATTTTCTTTCACGAATTTGTAAAGTTGGCAACTTCGACTTTCGTAGGTTACTGGGATAGCGGATTCATTTGTAATCGATCACGAAATCTGCCTTTATTGTGAAGCTAAGTATTGGATGTCAATGATGCCATTTATATCAAATTCAGGCCTGTCTCACGTTCCGCGTCATCTTTGTCACCGAATTCAAGTGATCCAGATCGACGGCTGCGACGGCAGATTGCCAATTGTAATGAACGTCGCCGCATGCAGTCTATAAATGCCGGCTTTCAATCGCTGCGTGCTTTGTTGCCTCGAAAAGTAAGTTTCTCAAAGGTTACTTTCTTTTTTGTTCATGTAGCTGCTATTTATGGTCTTATTCATAACATATGCGTATGTTTGCATATTTTTTTACAACTATTTTGGTCTCGTAGATCTTATCTCTTTTTGTAGGAAGGTGAAAAGTTGTCGAAAGCTGCGATACTTCAACATACCGCAGACCTCATCCAACAGCTGCAAAGCGAACGTTCACGTTATCTTGATAACGATGAGGCTGGAGGCAAGAAGCCCAAAATCGAGAGTGAGTTCTGCAATCACGTTTTAGTT